AGGGAGGGATGGAGGGGTTGAAGGGAGGGCAGGGGAAGGGGGAAAAATAAGAACCAAGAGAGATTACGTAAAGGTGCAAATTTCCAATCATGAATGTCATTATATTGTACACCTAAAATGTACCAATAAAATTAAATTTAAAAAAAAGAGTAGGAAGATTTTTATTGATAGGAAAGCTCCTGAGGGACGGGACGGGTCCCGAGTGGGTAGCCGGCAACCCCACTTTACAGAGGAGTTTTATAGGGTGAAGCCTACGAGTGTATAATGTGGGCCATAGCCATGATCATCTGATAAGTTCACAAGTATAATCACTAAGGTAATCGTGGTCCAATTGGGAAACAAGTCATGTAACAAGCGTGGAAGGAAAGAACAAAGATTCTCCTAGGAAGTGGTGGGTCCAGAGTTCTCTGGTCACCCACCGGGGTGTTGATGGCTATCTAGACTTCATTAGGCCCAGTGTTTGTCCTTTCAGGAAGTATGTGGGTCTGGTCATCTTGTCTTTATCCTCCCCCCAACACTGCGTACCAGGGATCGAACTCAGGACCTTGGGAGTGCAAGGCAGGTGTGGTGCCACTGAGCTAAATCCCTGTCCTATCTTATCTTTATCTTGAGGCCTGGTTTCCATCTGGCTGCAGCTGTGGTGTATGTCACCTTTGTGCTGACTCTGAGAACCTAGCCCTATGTGACTGCCTATAATATTTCTATTCAACTCAGGTATCTATAATATTATGATGAAAACATGGGACATTTGTTTTCCATCTAAGACTACCCATGCAAATAGGTAGATAAGAATTCGTAAAGCTATTGTTCAAAAGAAAAAGAGCTTAAAACCTTTTAAAAATAGTTATTTGGCCAGAGAGCTCTGGGGCTTAAGTCACTTGGTTAAGAAACCCATTAAGCAACTTCCTGAGATTTCCAACTCAATGCAGCAATGATATATTGGCAACACACTGTCTCTAGACTCTCAAGGGCTTTATAAACTGATCAGTATCCTAAAATGAGAGAGAGAGAGAGAGAGAGAGAGAGAGAGAGAGAGAGAGAGAGAGAGAGAGAATATAGAGGATTGAGAGTTGAGAAGACTGCTATGTCTCCAAAGTGAATGTGTGAGAGTTGAGGCTCGCTGGCTGGGTCTGCCCATTAGTTTAGCCTTGGTAGGCATAATGGAGTGCTCCATGGGAGACAAGTAGAGCGCACCAGATTGCAAGATGGTTGCTTTAGTTACTTTCTCATGTCTATGACAAAATATTTGACACCCACAGGTTAAAGGAGGAAAGGTTTATTTTGGGTCACAGTTTGTAGAGTTTTCAGTCCAGATCTGGCTGGTTCTAAGGCGGGGTGGTATGGTAGAAGGGTATGGCAGAGAAAAAGCACTTTCATGGCACGGCGGGCAGAAAGCAGAGAGAGATCAAGGGAGGTGGGAGAGAGACCCTTCTAGGCCACGCCCCCAGTGACCCACCTCCTCCACCCAAGCTCTATCTCCCAATAACTCATTTAGCTCTAAACTCATCAGTGGACCAATTCACTGATAAGTATCACACCCCCATGATCCAGTCACCTCCCCAAAGCCCTACCTATGAGCTCATGAGGCTTTAGGGGGGACATCTAGATATAAACCATAAGTGGTCATCCGGAGCACAGGAATTTAGCTCACTGTTTGGAAGATTTCTGGAGTTCTCATACACAGGTAATACTATGGGCATTCGGTTGTGAGCAGGGCATACTCTAATTAAGAAATATAACCATAGGACCAGGGATTTAGCTCAGTGGTACTGCTGCCTGCCTCATAAACACAAGGTCCCGAGTTCAATACCCGGTACCAAAAAAAAAAAAAAAAAAGAAAAGAAAGATGCCCATAAATCTGGAAAAGGAGCAATTCTTTCTCATGATGCTCAGGGATTGGGGGCTGTGACATACCATAAAAGAGAAAGCAAAAAATGTAGGATGAGAAGACACTTAAGGACAGACTCAAATACATCCTGAATCACAGCGAAGAAGTTTGTCAGAAGGAAGACAACCAAAGGGAGAGAGATTGATTAAGCCTATTGGAGGAGCAGTCTGTTTGCAGTTGGCCCAGAGAGTCACGTCCAAGTATCAGGGCATTACTAGGATAATGCAAAAAAAAAAAAGTAGAGTTGAGAATCCTAGAGAAAGATAAACGCAGGAGTGAACATTTCTCTACGCTTTTAAGTTATATTTTTACTTCATTCATTTTGACTTTCAAGGACTCATGGACTCACTTCTTCATATTTATGGGAGAAAACAAATTTCCTTGTGATGAGGAGTCCTCAGCCTTAGCTCTGTGGATATTTGAGGCTGGATAATTCTTCATAATGTTGTTCTGTGCAGTGTAGGATCTTTAGCAGCATTCCCAGTCTCTATCCACTGGATGGCAGGTGCACTCCTCCTCCCCTCTAGTGGTGACATCCACAGTGCCTTCAGATGTTGCCAAGTGGCCTCAGTTCAAGAGGGAGGGGGAGAGCCCGAGGGAGGAGGGTGGCTAAATTGCCAATTGAAAACCACTACTTTAGATAATACTATTTCAAAGTATCATCATGGCAGACTAATTGTAACTATTTGATGCCATCCAGGTAAAAAGGGGAGATGTAGCTCAGTGGTAGATGGCTTGCCTAGCATGTACAAGGCCCTGGGTTTGATCCTTGGTACAGAAGGAGAAAGAGAAAGAGAAGGAGAAGGAGAGGAGAGAATCTATATAGAATTAGTCACATTCTGTCTTCTAAACTTGTAAACCTTTCAGGTAAACTTTGAAATTCACATTAGTTTATATCCAGGTAGGTTGGCACAAAAAGGGAAGTTTCAAAAGCTATATATTTGAATGAAAAAAAAGTCTTTCAACTTTTTTCTTTTAAACTAGGTAATAGGGTTTAATAAAACTAACAGAATGTAAGTTTTCATTTCTCTAATATAAAACTTGTCATAACTAGTTATTAAGACTATAATCTAATGCACACATGAATATTATTTTTGCCCATTTCAAATGTATTGTGATCTGATAAATTAAATATGATTAATGGTATTATTTAATATAATAGTTCATATATTTCATCAGCAAGCAGAGAAAAATCACTATGTAGTCAATATATACATACAATAAACATCTGGCAGAGTTTCAAATTTTAGGTCCTCTCTTCAACACCAATTACAGAGTCTCTAGAGTCATATGGACAGCACTTGGGAAGAAAAATACTGTTTTTACTAGCGGAAGAAAAAGTGCATAAAAACTACAGGAGCCTTTTTTCATATATTCAAAAGGTAAGATCAATGAGGTCTATGCCACTGCTAACAAAGAGATCATTACTACTATGGTAATACTATGGAGGGAATTTGAAGTGTCTTATGTTGATGAGACACTATTCTTTTCACTGCAGATGGGACCACTATATAGACATTGCCCTCACCTGATCTATCTGTAGAATCTTCAAATTCCACAAGGAAAGAGTATCCATTATTCCAGATGTGCAGGCAGGTGGTTGGGTCATAAGAGATGGTGAGTGGTTTTAAGCCAGGATCATAAATGCTGTCCTTCCACCGGATGTTAATGGGTGACTGTCGATCACCTGCCGGAACAAGGTCCATGCTTTCCCAGAGAGGATGCACTAGGAGAGAGCAGAGTGGGGTGATTAGCAAGACCATCCACTATCTAGCATCACACAGGAGGCAGTCAACTCGGGAGAACCCACAGAGGCCAGTGGCAACTAAAGGTCCTAGGAATTAGCTATTTAGGGTCTTTGTCAACTGCCTAGAGCAAAGGATAAAGGCAGATCAGGAAGGATCTTTTTTTTTCTTCTGGTGTTTTTTGTTTTTTTTTTTTTGGTACCGGGGATCGAACTCTAGTCCTTGTGCTTGTGCGGCAGGCGGCGAAACCACTGAGCTAAATTCCCGGCTTTCTTCTGGTTTTTGAGACAGGGTTTCACTATGTTGTTTAGGCTGTTAATCTGGTAATAATTACTTGCGGTAATCCTCCCCCCAGCCTTCGAGTGCTGGGGTTACAAGCGTGAGCCACCACATCTGGCCTCAGAGAGCACCTATGAGGAGTCGGTATGCTGTCATCTCGGAAAACTAACACATCTCAGTCTATCCACTAATGTCCCCTAAACCCAGTGCCATCATTCCTGCAAGATGCAATATTAACGCCACTTGGAAGCAGGGATTTCACAAGAGTGTCTTTGTTTCCTTCCTGATTTCCCAAGCCCCAAGCCCCAGAACTGGTTTTATTTTTTTGGTACTGGGGATCGAACTCAGGACCTTGCACTTGCCAGGCAGGCATGGCCCCACTGAGCTAAATCCCTGGCCCAGTACTGGTTTTAAATAAAAGTCAATTTAATTTTCAGTGACAGTCTTTATTTTCAACAAAAGTAATGGGGTAGAGTTTTTAGAAAGCAAATTTTGAATCAAGTACTATCAGTTTTCAATTGGTTGGTTAGTAGAAATAAAGACTTGCATGGCTTGCCTCCTGTAAGGTGCTCACACCATGTAAGTGTACCTGCTGAGTTCACCTCTATGGATTCAAACCCTGAGAAATAGGCAGCCCCCCTGTAAGATCTGGGTAGAGGATCAGCATTGCTAAGCCTCCCTGAGTTCATAATCTGTTACATGAATGTGGGTGTGGTCTATTACAGTGAACACATGCAATTTATCTCACACAGACACTGATGACCACTGATAATTTTCTTTCACAGAGTCAAGCACCAAGTTTTCTTGGCAAGCCCCAGATAAATATCAGCAGACTTCCTGTTAGACAGACCTATTGTGACACCCAGGTGCAGAACAGAGCTCACATTTATCAGTTCAGGGTGGTCTAGTTCTCTGCCATTTAGAAGCACCATGGATGGGTAGAATCAAAGCCAACAGGAAAACTGGGAGAAATGTGAACCAACAGAAGTTATTACCAATAACCTTCTGCATCTTGCCCCACCAATAAAAATGAGTCTGATAATGACTAATGTGTCTGTTTTATCATCTAGCCAAGTCCCCTATATATGTCCTGGTCATCCTCATATTTCCAGAAAAACAGAAACCCGCCTTCTGGAGGGTGGAGGAAACAGTCTTCTTCCTTTGGTAGTTGCCCAATCTTAAAGTCAAGATCTTAGCCTTAGTTTTTATATTCATTGTTCTTATGGGTTTGTTTGGGTGTGGTTTTTGCAAACATCACCCAGTAGTATAGACATGCAACTCTCCTAAGTGTGCAGACAAGTGATTCGAAACAGAGGGAGTGATTCAGCACTGAAGGGACGTTCGGCAATGATTGTTTTGTATGACAAAACTGGGAGAAGATGCTACTGATCTCTGGTGGCTGGAGGCCAGAGATGCTGATAAACACCCTTACCTGCATAGGATGGTCAGGCTCCCACAAGCAAGAATTACCCTGCCCTTGGGCTGAGGATTTAGCTCAGTGGTTTTGCTGCCTGCTGCGCAAGTGCAAGGACCCGAGTTCGATCCCTGGTACACACAAAAAAAAGAATTACCCCGCCCCAAATGACCATAGAGCCAAAGTTAAGAAGCCCCCCTCTAAAGCTAAAAAAGCTGTATGAAAACCCATAGTATTTTTTATTTCTATTTTCATATAACACAGTTGTCTCCTTTCTGGAGAGGTCTGAACCCAATGTTTTGGAATTTTTTCCTCCTTAGTATAAAAGAAGTGGTAAAGAATAAGAATTTACTTTAGAGAATAATGAGGACCTTCTGTTTCAGAAACACAGTATACTATGGAAAATGAATATGAACTGGCACAATACCATCCTTGTAATCTGAATAGAGGGCAACCTGGTTACTCGGTGTTGTGGTGCACCCCTGTAATTCCAGCACTTTGGAGACTGAGGCAGGAAGCCAGTCGATAGTTGGAAGCCAGCCTGGGCTACATAATGAGTTTAAGGCCAGCCTAAACTACTTAGTAAGACCCTGTCTCTAAAAAACAAAACAAATCAAACAGAAAACAGAACCAGAGGGCTGGGTATTTAGCTCGGTGGTTCCAGCGCCTGCCTGTAAGCTCAAGGTCCCGAGTTCGATCTTGAGTAACAAAAACAAAAACAAAAACCAGAATGCAACCTGATGAGCAGGAGCCAAGTTTCCCTTCCTTTTTGGTTGGCCTGTAGTACCTTATTAAATATATGCCCTTTGTTGGGCCGGGGATTTAGCTCAGTGGTTTTACTGCCTGCTGCACAAGCGCAAGGACCCGAGTTCAATCCCCGGTACATATATATATATATATATATATATATATATATATATCCTTTGAGCATTAATAATCCAGCTGCTACTGTTGGGAGGCGTTGCGGGGGGGGGAAGCTAGATTTGATTCAAATTGTGTTAATTTTTAAACTTCTAGTAAACCTTAATAGCTCAGATTTAGTTTCAAAGATCCCTGGAAAAAAATAGACAACAACAATTGATGAGGGTCTCCTGTAAAGACTAAAAAGAACTAGAACAGAGATCAAGTCCCTAAGATGATGCCCTCAGACATCCTTAACTGTCTGCCACTCCATTCAGGCCGACTCCCATGCAACACCAGCCCAAGGAGCCTGGGCCAGTTCCTTCAGCTGCCCTTTTATGGCCCTAATGCTACTGTCTGTTTCTGCCCCTCTGTTTACAAGTTCAGTTTCCAGAAGGTTCTCTTTTCCCCACCCACCTCCATGGCTAACCTAGGCCACCTCTTGCTAGGGTGGAAGGACTTGGTCACCGTCCTCTTAGCGAGGCCAGCTTTTTGCTAAGGGCTTGTTTTGCCAAAGATGAATTCACACTTCTGTTCCCTTCTCCTCTTCCTCATTTAAACAAAAAAGCAGATTGAAATAATTTCCTGGTAGTTGCTCATATCTTCCCTCAAAATAGGAAGATGATTATGTGTTCTAACTAAGAGAGGATTTATTTTCAGATTTTTCTTATGCAGGGAAAATGAAACACAGTGATTGTATCAACCATGTCTTAACGAGCTCATTCATGCGCTTATTAAGAACCCATAGCGGATGAGCAGCAAAACCACGCTGAGGATATGCTTGGTCCTAGTTCTTGGTCTTTAGTTTTAGTAGTCTCAGCTTTACTTCATTTTGTGCTCTGGCATTGTCTTCATCTGTTTGGCCTACAATAACACAATATCATAAGCTGAGTGTCTTAGACACAAGAGAAACCTATTTTCACAGTTGTGGAGTTTGGGAAGCTCAAGATCACAAAGCTACAGATTCGGTGTCTGGTGAGGGCCGCTTCCTGGTTGAGACAGCTGTCTTGCAGCTGTATCTACACATGGTGGGAAGGGCAGGGAGCTCTCCAGTCATACAGGGCATTAATCCCATTCATGAAGGCTCTGTTTTCACGACCTATTCACATCCCAAAGACCAACCCTGCTAACACCGTCATCTTGGAGGTTAGGATTTCAACATAATGAATTTAAGAGGGATACAGGTATTCAGTTCATTGTAACACCTATTTTGCCAGCCTTGAATGCCCCTCTCACAAGCCCGGAAACACAGAAAGCTCATTTCTGCTTTAGACCCTTCTTCCTTTAGAGAAATCAATTTCCCCTCATTAAGCTTAGAGCTAGTTGACCTTGCATTAGGTCTTGGGTTTATCTGTCACCTCCTCAAATTGATGTTGAAATTTTTTCCCCAAGGGGTTAGTATGAGGAGTACCTTAGGGAGGTACTTAGGTCAGGAAGGTGACCTCATGAAAGAGACCAGTGCCTTTACCAAAGAGGCCCCAGGGAGTTTCCTGGCTCCTTCCACCAGGTGAGGATACAGCTAAAAGGGACCATCTTTAAAGCAGGAAGCCTCCACCAGACATGAAATCTGCCAGTGCCTCAGCCTTGGACCTCTCAGCTTCCAGAACTAGAAGCAATCAATTTCTGCTGCTTGTAAAGTACTCAGTCCAAGGTATCTTGTTATATCAACTTGAACGCATTAAAATAGTTCAGGTCTCCTTTTCGCTTTATTTCCAGTTGTGTCACTGATGACCACATTCTTTCAGGGTCATCTCTTCCTTGCGTTGCCCATGACCACCAGCCTAGCTGAGGCCCCTGCACCCCGGCTTCATGCTAATCCTCTTAGTGGCTTTCCCTCTTCTCTCACATCCCCGACTCCCGTGCTCCCACACTTGGCAGTCTCCGTAAATCACCACCTTCATCGTGTGTCCGACCTAAGAACTCCACATCAAGCCGTGACTCCTGCCTCCAAGGCCCGAGTGAGGGTTCCTATTCCAACCCACCTCGGGGTCTCATCTCCTTCCTCCTCTTCCTCCCCACGCTCCAGTCTCCCCCTGCTGTTGCCCTTGGTCAGTCCAAAGCAAGAGACTCTGGAAAGGGGAAACATTCACAGGCTATGAGGACATGGTACAAAGAATGTAAACCTGCTCGGGAGTAATTCTTACACTGATTACATGTGAAAATGATAACATTCTGAATATACTGGATTAAATAAAATCACGACTAAAATCAATTTCACTTCTTTCCTCCCTTTCTAACCTATTAGAAAAATCAGAATTACCTTTGTGGCTCATATCACACACCCATTAGGTAGCACTGCTTCATACCCTGATTTGCTTCTTATCTGATGCCTTGCTACATTTTTCCCTTTTCATGCAGGATATACTATTTCCATAACTGAAGACCATCTTTGGAGGCCTCGTCCTTAGAGCAGTGACCCTATACACAGGGACACTCCCAAGGAGTGTGCTGAGGATAATCACAGAATCACAAAGGGCCTATCGTGAAAATGTTCAGATTTAAACATCCAAAGGAGGCATCGAGCTGGTGATGACAGTAAAGATGATGAAGGTGATTCCGTCTCATGAGAAGCAGCAACCAACACAGAGTCCTCACTGTGAGGCAGGCACCAGCAAAGGATTCTGCATGCCTCCTTTTCTAACCTTCAACCATCTTGGGTTATTCTTGGTCACCATGTACCCTGGGCTTCCCCTTGGGCTACTGGGCGCCAGGAACAATGACTGCTGCTTTTACCACTAAGCAAGTGAGGACAGCAGAACCGGAAGTGCTCAGCGAGGCAGCAAAGACCGTGCGTGATATTCTCCTGGGTGCAGATAGGCGGGGACAGCCTAAGATGCCGAAAACCAAATTCATGGCCACTGTGCCCTGTTCTTCCAACCAGCTTAGAACCAACAACGTGTTACATGTTGTGGGAAATTAATCAAGCGACGCTGCCACCGCCCCAAGCCACAACTGTTTGCCTTTTATCAGCAGTGAAAGGAGTGAACTGTCCTAAAAATACAAGCATACAGGATATTAGATGTTTAACTTTCGACTTTCTGCTAGAAAAGAAAACTTTAGTAACTAGATAAGTATGACTAATTTTTTCCATTTAAAGCCTGAGATGACAAAATGCTAGAGTTCAGATGAAGCCCATCTGGGTAGGATGTGGGCACGCTCATGGGAAGCCACACCTAACAACCAGAAATTTATTATGACTCCAGCCAGTTTATTTTTAATGAGAATACAGCCAGTGTTGAGGAAAAAAAGATGAACTCATAATAACAATATATTTCTGCAGCAGTTTCAAGCCCTTGGATTGGGTTGGATTAACATTACTAATTTACAAGCATCCTCTTCTCCATTTCTTTTGTTATGTACATACAGGGTCAAAGAGAGTAAACAAAACAGGGAGAATCCTAAACCTCAATGTTAGTCAACAATTGAAACTTTTGTGTCAATTTTTTCAAATAAAGGAAAACACAAAAAATATCCCTTTAATGATATATGTAGCCACTTCATCTCTCTATAAATTCCAACTCATCTTTCCACAAATGCATACATTATTCTTTCCCATCATCTCAATGGTTCGTAACCAGTGGGCACTTTTGTCACATGGAGCTTGTTTGGTGATGTCTGCAGATATTTTTGATTCTTATAACTGGGTGGGGGTGCCTAGTAGGTAGAGGCTAGGATGCTGCTGAACACCTGCAGTGTTCAGGACAGCCCCACCACACTTGCAAGCTGGACAGCTAGAACTGACTCTGGGATTTGTGACTCTGAGCAGAATATTCCAGAGGATGAAGCCACTGACCTGCTTACAAAAATTGCAACTTCCAGAAACTTAAAATTGGTGGAAATAATTTGTAGTCTATAGACACATCTTAGTGAAAAGACAACTGCTCACAAGAAATGCTAAAGATACCAGGTTCTGAGATACTTGAAAGTGGGTGTCCCTCTTGTGCAATTTCTGCACACCATCATTTCAGCATGCCAAGCCCCGTCAAGAAAGGACTTTGAAATTTATTTTAATAAATCTATAGCAAACAGTTATGCTCACAGTTCTTAAGGCATCTAATCTCACACGGGACTGCCAATGACGCCATACCTAGAAATGCCTAATGCACATGATGGTTACACAAACCAAGAAGCTGTTTTGTTGTCTCTAGGGAAGGTTATACTCACAGGCTCTGTTCCGGGTTTTATAGGTGCAGGTATAGAGACTGCAGGGCCTCACTGGCATGGACCTGGGAACTGGAACCCTCCTCCACAGCCATTTGCAGGGGGACACTGGAAGAATGACTCTCAGGCTATTCAGCAGCAGCATCTTCAGCTTGAAATCCTGATCAGCTGCCAAATAATGAGCAGGAACCTAAAACCCTAGTGGGAAGAGGCCAGAGGAGGAAAAGCCATAAACAATAGAGATTGAAAATCATGTGAAAACCTCTAAGTAGGACAACATTCAGGCTGGCAGTTCACACCCTGATGTGGGGGAGGGCTAAGGAGAGTCAATAGTTTATTCAGCCCTGTTCTGCAAACCCATTGGTCCGGCACTGAAAGGCAGGGGCCAGAGGACTGACTCATATAATTTGCCTTTCCCTGGGGGCTGGCAAATATTAGAGGCTGGGAGAAAAAGTTGTCTTTGTCCACATGAATAAAAAGATTGTTTACGGTACAGTTTCTTAAAATTAAAAAAAAAAATTACTCCCTGAAATCCCAATTAATTATTCAGCATGGTATTTACATGGAGAAGAAAAAAAACACCAATAATTAAAACTCCCTCCAGGCAGCCTGAATCAAAAGAACTGTCTGCTTCTGAATTGCTTAAAAAAAAAAAACCCAAGATACAACCTGTCAAAATAATCATGGTTGGTTTTGAAATCTAAGCTTAAATATAATCTGTGACTCTTTGCCAACTTTTGAAGTAACACTATGGCCCTGGAAATTGAGAGAAACGGACAAGATCTCTCTCTCTCTCTTTGTTTTCCTCTCTCTCTCTCCCTCACCCCCCCTCCACCGCACCCACATTCACTGTGACTCTCAGAAGATGATGCTTTCCGAAGTATTCACTGTGGGGTCCAGAAATCATAGGGATATTAACTCTGTACCCTTCTCTCCTTCCTGTTCCTCACACTTGCTCCGATATTGCTTCATCCACTTTTCCTGAAAACTCCTAGTCCTGTACAAGGGAGTGAGCAAGTTCTGAAATTAAAAACACAATTTTTCTTCTTGACTTTACATTCATTTCACTGTAGATTTTGAAATGTTCCATGTGATAACTTGAGATGCATTTGGATAGCTGTTTGGGACACCATTTGAGCAACCACGACTGTGACATGGATGCCCTGGCCCCACTGAGGTCTCAATCTCCTATCTTTTTTTGTTTATTTTTCTTTAACAGTACTAGGAATTGAACCCAAGGAGCACTGAGCACTGAGCTACATCCCCAACACTGTTTTAATTTAAATTTAATTTTATTTGTGTATTTATTAATTTTTTTTTGAGACGGGATCTTACTATGTAGTTCAGGCTGACCTTGAACTCATTATGTACCCCAGGCTGACCTCGAACTCGTCGCAATCCTCTTGCCTCAGCTGCCCAAGTGTTGATTTTTATTTTTTGCTTTGAGACAGAATCTTGCTAAGTTGCCGAAGTTGACTACAAACATCGTATCTTCCTGCCTCGGCCTCTCCAGAAGCTGGGATTACAGGCCTATGCCACCAGGCTTGGCTGTCTCAGGTCCATTTGTGCTCCTGCCTGCCCACCAGCTATGTGGACTCCATCTTTCCAACTCCCGCTGTCCCTCCAGCCTGTGAAGATGCTCTTCCTCCCTGGACCAGTTCATTCTGGCCTACCTCTCAGCTGACTGGCTCCAGAATCCCTTTCTCAGGGCTTCCCCCAACCATGTGCTCACCAGGGAAGCCAGCACCCTATTCTTGGTCAGAGTGGTTATGAAGTTGACTTAAGTGGCTGATCAGGATTGTAGTTTACAGCCACATCTCCCCCAGCACCTCAGCGGTGCTGGAACTGTGTCTGTCTCCGTCACAGCCATGTCTCTTAGGGACACAGTCCCTGGTATATGATGGCTATTCAAGGAGTACTATGACCTGAACAGGCTTTCCTGGTGATGGGGAAGATGTTGATCCTAATCTCAAAAACTGAGTGCTGGGATACGACTGCCTGCATGTTCTGGGACAGTACTGACTGAGTCCTTTGCTCAAATGCTACCGTTACCCATCTGTAGCACTGTTTATTTTATTAGTGTGTGTGTGTGTGTGTGTGTGTGTGTGTGGTATTGAAGACTGAACGCAGGGCCTCCTCACCCATGCTAGGCAAGCACTCTACCACTCAGCTACAGCTGCAGCCCTGTATTTTATTTCACTTTATCGAGTGCTGAGGATCCCAGGGCCTCATCAGTGCTCTACTACCGAGCTACACCCCCAGCCCATGTAGCTTGTTTATGATATTTATTTATTTATTTATTTATTTATTTATTTTGAGACAGGGTCTCGCTACGTAGTCAGCCTGGCCTTGAAGTCACTACATAGCCCAGGCTGACCTCGAACTCATAGTGATCCTCCTACCTCAGCCCCCCGAGGGCTGGGATTACAGGCATGCATATTTTTTTTGCATATTTTTAATATATTTGAAATATGTGTCCTTTAAGAGGAGAATCTCACATCCATACTTATAGGACCCAAAGGGCCCGCAAAGTCTTGCTATTTGAATCAGAACCTGAGTAGGAAGTTAGCCTCATATCAAAAGGATGGGAATTCTCCCAGTACACATTTTCATTCCAACATTTATTATTTCCTTCATCAGACACTGTGTTGGATGCTGCTATTCTAAGATGACCAAGGTCATAGAAAGGAATGAAGCCTTGGTATGTGCTATAATACAAGGAACCTGCAAAACACGATGCTAAAGTTAAAGAAGCCACATACAAAGGTCATGCATTCATTTCTGGCACCACTGCCACTACTTGTTAAACAAGAATAGGAGAACATGTTATCATCATCTGCTCTTGTTGCACAGAGAAATTGCAGTGAAGAAATCCATTTTTAAGGGCAATGGTTTTGTCTCTACCTTTCTACCTCAAGGGGAACCTAGGCCAAAATGGAAGAGCCTTGGACTTGTGAACTGATGTGAAATGCAGATGCTCTGTTGAGTTCTGAGTGTTTTGAAGACTGAAAAATCTTGCTCAGCATGGGTAACCACCAAAAAGCAATCTAAAGCCATCTTCATGTGACAATGAGACAAATTGGGGAATTGGTTGTCTATTGAAAGTAAAATGCCTTATCTTGAAGAAAAACAAGCAGGCACATGAAATGCTTAGGATGGGAAAGAGACAGAAGGCAGACTGGTGGTTGCTAGGTCATAAGGAAAAGGGGAAATGGGGACTTCTTAGTGGACATGGGGTCTCTTTAAGTGGTGCAAATGTTTTGGAATTAGATTGAGGTTCAGGTTGCACAACACTGAATTGTTTATTTTAAAAAGTTAATTTTATGTTATGTGAATTTTACCCCCATTTTTAAATTTTTTAAACATTACTACTCTTGTGCTTGCTTCGGCAGCACATATACTAAACATTACTACTCTGCCACAAAGAAGGAGAAACTTGAGTCACCAATAGGAAAATGGATGCACCTTGAGACCATATTGTTCAGTGAAATAAATCAGACACACAAGCTTAAATATCACATGGTTTCTCTTACATGAGAAACCCAAAGTATAAAGAAATTAAAGAGCAAACTAAAAGACAGATGATAGGAAACAGGGAGATGGATCTTTTGCAAAAGGGAAGGGACCAAGAGATGGCGGGGGGAGGGGAAGGGGACAGAAAAAGAATCAAGATGTGTTATGGACACGCACCAACTCTGCACAAGGAATGTAATCATTACGTACTACAAACAAGCATGAATAAAAATAAAAATTAACAATAAACAAATAAAAAGGTGAGCAAGGAAACACACAAAGTGGCTCACAGCAGGGTGTTCATGCCTCCTGAGATTCCACCTTTTGCAGAAGGAGGTCTCTCGGCAGTTTGGCCTTGACAGGAGACAGGAAGGTACAGAAAGAGAAACTCAGAGGACACTGAGGATACTTTTCACTTATAGGCTTGGACTCTACTTCCCAAGAGGAGTGCAAGATAGAACAATAACAACACAACCCACATGTGATCCCCATCGATGTGGAGCACCAGTGCTATTAGTGGCCTGTGACCTGGCTCTCTCTCCTCTGTACTACTGTCCTTGACTCTGCTCTCCCTGAAACAGAGGGGAGAGAAGGCTCCACCTACGTGAAAGGAGGAAAAATCACACCTGAAAAGCCGTGTTCAATGAGAACAGGAAGCAGAGTTACTTCCTATCGCTAGCTCCAACAAAAAATCAATGGCTCTGGCCATCAAAGCCCTCAGACAAGTATGGTAAAGTCTTTCAGCCAATCCTGTGCCCTTTGAGTAGGTAGCACTTGGCCAATAAATACCCTGGACTTGGAGAGGTGGCGAGGTGCAGCCATCACGTGACAGACCAGGAGGAAGTTCGTGCATCCTACGGAGGGTGTTCAAGCCAGTGACATCTGAAATGTGTCTCCATTGCCCAAAAAGGTGTTTGAAATTCTCAAAGTTAAAATTTGCTTTGTTTGTAGTTTTATGTGTTTGTTTGTATATATACGTTTTTGGAGGAAGTGTGTATATGTCAAAATATACCTTATTTAGGATGTGCAAAACTTTCAAACTTTCAAGAGATTATCTTGATAGTGTTTTGAACAAAAAAGAGCACCTTGTTTTTAAATACCTTCCTTAGCTGAACTGACTGAGCAGCCTTACAGAGTAATAGATTATCAGCCCTCTCAGCTCAGAATCTGATTCTGCTTTCTTTTTTAGTGGTATCAGGAATCAGACTCGGGACCTGGCACTTTCGAGGCAGGCGCCGGAACCACTGAGCTAAATCCCCGGCCTGTTGATTCTGCTTCCTGTATCGTAACTTTTTGTCATGGAAAATGTCAAACTCATGCAGCTAAAACCAGCCTTCTGTATCTCCAGTTTCTGCATCTGTGGATTGGGATTTAGTCAATGTGGATCGAAAATATTTGAAAAAAGTGTATGTTGAACATGTACAGCCTTTTTGGCTTGTCATTTCTCCCTAAACAGTACAGTATAACAACTGCTTACATAGCATAGGTGTCAGCCATGTAAACTAGAAGGGACTTATGGTTATACAGGAAGCCATAGGTAGGATATATGAAAATACAATGCCCCCTTTTCAGCTTGAATAACTTTTGAAAATTTAAATTTATTTTTTACAGATACCTAACATTGTATATATTTGTGGGATACCATGTGACATTTGGATACATGTATATATTGTGACTATGCCTTT